GTGTACATATAAATCTATAGGGACTTCATGAATAGCTCACGGATACACATCACTTTTTCGAGATTCTGAGCCAATTTCGCTAACAGCACTTGTGCAGACCAAATCTTCTATAACTTCTTTTCTTTTTTGCAAACCTTACTCAATCAATGACTGAGCATGTTCAAGCATAGTCTGCGAACAGATGATGCGCAGCTCAAGTTATCGCTCTCCTTCCTGAAGACGAGCACTCTTCGTACTCCCTTCCCTCACATCAATGTTCTTCCTCTTCAGCCTCTCATTGTCTTGCTTACCGGCCTCTAGCCTTTCTGTGTAAACTTAATGAGACTTCTTTGCAGCTTGCAGCAAGTCTGCTGTCAAGGGCACTTTCGTGACATCATTGCCAAATCACTTGAGGTAGCTCTTGTCTTTGTGCATACTGTCTTCAAAGTGCAATCAGGGCAATCCCGAACTGACAGCTCGTATCTCGCTCCGGGGCGGGGCCAAAGCAAGGATTACAATAGTCACACATTTGCTTCACTATTTAGATCTTCAGACGAAGTGACTCCAGGACTTCAAAAAAGCACGGCGAGCATGCAACAATGGCAGCTAACGTTGACGGCAGCAACCTTCACATAGAGATCTTCAGATTCGGATCCACTGGCATCCCATTGGGGCCGGAAGTTCCGGTGTCAATGTTGCCAGCAGAAACTGCGAGACGGCTAATTTCAACGAAGCTCGTTTATAATTTCGGTTTGGGCGCACCTTGGCCCAATTTTGTTCTTATTTATACTTTTGTATCAGTGTGGCACATGAAAAGTCATTAGGCGCACAGTGGCACAATAGGCGCAGGTGTTCCATCCCTGAGATAAGCTGCAAGGAGGGGAAGCGTTGATCGTCTGCAAATGTCTTCGCCTTTCTGCCCGCTTTCCTTCTTGCCTCACGACAATGCAATGCAAGCACACTTGCAATCACTCTCTGTGGTTTCAGCTGCTCCCACTCTTTCCAAGTATGCACTGTGCCTACGTCATCTGCTTTGACCGCCTCGGTCCGTTTGGTGCTTAGCGTTCGACGTCGTCTGCCTGCGCTTCGCTGCGAAGATTTGTAAAAATGGCCTCCTGTTGTGTGCCTCAATGCAACTCAGATGGAGAAAAGAAGCCTGAGAAAAAAGTGGCTTGCCGCAATACGACGAGAAAACGGGACACCAAATGCGACGTCGTGCTATACTAAGGTGTGCAGCGGGCACCAAAACGCATCACGTCTGCTTCTTCCATATTTGTGGAATGTCTAAATATCAAACAGGCCAATCAGAGAACCAGAATTTCCTCGTGGACACGTGACTTTCTGAACGCGTGGGAGGTACGGCGCTAGCCCATCGCCCACATATTCGGAACGACCAGAATGGATGAATGGATGCATGACATCCGTCCATTTTTCCATCTAAACGACCATTTCAGTGGCGCGCCTGGCGGCGAAACGTTGCACGTGCGGTGACGGTGGCGGTTAATTGCTTTCCGACTCTTTAGCTGGGCACGGAAAGTATAAAGGAGGCACTGGTATGGACCTTAAATGCATAAACTTGCCACGGGGGTCATATTTCTTGTTTGATTCGTCGACGAGAATATTAATCTTGCTCTCACTTATGCACATATTGCAGTCATAATACAAATAAGTGGGCTTTTCAATGCAGGTTTGCCACGGTTTAAATCGCCAAAAAAGGTGCGATAAAATGACTAAAAACTATGGTAAGTTCCCTTTTTCTTTTCTTTTTTTCTTTTTTTTTGAGGTAAAAGGAGGGGGTAGGGTGCATGCACCCAACCAATACAGGGCATCTAACACACCAAAGCAAAGGACAGATATAGTGGGTTCAGGCCACCCGGAGATCTTGAAACTCAGTCACACTGTGTCGTCTGATCCTCAATGAGCCCCGTCAGACGGTGGGCACCTCAGCCAAGGTTCGAACTCGGCAACGGGAGATCCGTGAGCTGACCTTACAGCAGTTAAAGAGGGGTACCAAATAAATTAAAACCAAGTTTGACCACAAGGCGTCGTACCGAAATACAAAGGAACGAGAACATGGCCTAACAAAGCATCTCCTCGCGCGCATTATTTACGATAAATGGTTTGGGAGGTGCATCTATTTTGACTATGAACAGTTTCTTACTGCTAGGTCTATCTAGTACCCATGCACGAAAGCAGGCCAACGCGAGACGTTTTTTTGCATGAGGTATTTGATGGCATCTTTGATGCAAATTTGCCTCCTAATGACATTTCATTTTGTGTTCCACAAAGGCATTTCAATTCCGTCTCCTCTCTTTTACCCACGGAATGTTGATAATGAGTCCTTAATTACACATTTGGGGCCTCTTTATAACCGTTATAGCAATAAAACAAGCAACTCAGATTTGTCCCACCGCCTCCCTCATAACATTTAAAAGAGGCCTGCAGGCATCTTTATGGCATGTCTGGTCTGTCATTTTAGCATCATTTTTTAATTTTTATTATGGCTCATTTATTTTGTTCTCTTTTAGTTTTATATAATGTGTGGACAATTAGGGCTAAGAGCTGCTTGTGGTCACAGTATACATAACAATAAACAAGAACCTTGTACGCAAAAAGTTGCGCTTCACAATTAGGTAGAAAATCCCAAATCCCTTCACCACGTACAAACGGAAAAGACAACCGTGGAAACAGCATTTACCTCGACTGTATGTTTCCCTGTAAACGCAAGCCACAAACACAAGAAACAGAACAAGAAGCGAGAGTAGTGTAACAAAGAAACCCCCTGTTACATACAGTCCTGCTTGTTTACGCTTAGCGTCCCCACCTGGTTAATTGGAAGCCTAGGCAAATAGTTTGGGTAAACAAGGGCCGAGTTTCGCACGTCGCGCCCATCCTGCAAGCAAGCAGAGTGACACGTGTGCTTCAATCAGCGTCTCAGAATGCGCACAAGGTTCCGTCCAAAACAATGTGCCCGTCAAAAACAATGTGCCGCCAAGCGTCTCGAAAGAAACCGTACAGGTGCATGTAAACAATGTGTGTGTGTGTACATCGAGTCTATATTGTGTATATTGTCGTATTTGCTCCCTCTAGTGCGACGGGAAGGCTGAGCGCAACCTCCATCTGCAGTGAGGCAGAACATCCTCCTAGCTTACTCCTGTCCCAAGCTGCGCAGGAATCGAAAACTCCTAAGTATGAAGCTATGTCCCTACATAGTGACGATGTAGGAGGGTGGCTCCCTACTATGTCCCTACTTAGGACTATGTAGAGAAGTAGCTCCTCGTGTAAGCACTATGTAGGGAAGTAGCTCCCTACAATGTCTCCACTCGGGGACTAAATAAAGATGCAGCTCCCTACCAGAGGCTATGTAGGGAAGTATCTCCCTACCATATCTCTACATGGGGATTATGCAGGTAAGTAGCTCCCTACAATGTCCCTATTTAGAGAGTAAGTAGGGATGCATCTCATCACAGTCCCTACTTATGGACTAAATAGGGATATACCCTAAAAAATTGCATTAATACAAGGTTGTTCTTTTTCAAATTTTGCCACGTAAATTTTGCGGCTCGTAGTATATGCGGGTCTCAACAATATTCAGCTTCGATGAGGCGCAATCTAACGCAGTTTGACGTAGTTTCGGTTTCGAAGCAATATGGCGTTCAAAGCAGCTATCATCATCATTAAAATCACATTGTCCGAGGCGCCACCCTCTATCCACAGTTAGGCCTGGTCAGGCTAGGCAATGGCGTTGGCGCGAACACAACGCTCGGATGCCTTGAAAAGAAAAGTCATTTTGGCTGTGAAAGACATCGGCAACAGTGCTGCCGGATGACAATTCGCCGTAAATAAAAGCAGCATCCGCGGATGGAGGCAATAAAAGCAAGCTCTGTTCGCGTGCAACGAAACGAGAAGCTTTAGAGGCCTAAAGAATGGCGAGTTCGCCGACATCGAGGCAAGTCTCAGAGGCTTTGTAAAAGAGCAATGTGAATGGCACCTCGCCGTGAACATCGAGCTGCTGCAAGAGAACGTGAGACAACTTTGGTGAGCCGACATTAAGTTGCTTGCTTTATCCACCACGCCGGGTTTTCACTGCATCGGCGCACGCTCGTGGCTTGCTTTTTCAAGAAGTGCGGGATTTCAAACGCGCTCGACGGCACTGAAGACGACAGACTGTCTTTGGGAGGAGGCGTCGGACAAGGAGTCTGATGGAAGTGGTGACAGTGATTAAGGTTCAATTACGACGCAAATAAACGCTTTTCTTACGGCCTCTTGGGTCACATTTTTCACGGAAAATTTTTGCGGTCCTTAAATTGTTTTGTATTATACGCAGATAAAACTTTTAGGTTTCTTTCACTGTCCTCAAACCATGCTTTGTATTATACGCGAGTTTTTACGGTACCTCTTCACTATGTTCCTACTTGGGGACTAGTAGGGATGTGGCTCCTTACTACGTCCCTACTTGAGGACTCTGAAGGGAAGTAGCTCTCCACTACGTCCCTACTTAGGCACTAAGTAGAACCATAGCTCTATGCCCCTCTTCACTGGGAGAGGATAGAATCAATCTCTGGGGAGTGAGAGTATCGGGGATAAAAGGGGAGAAAAGCAAAAGAACAAAACGCAAGATGCAGGTCTGCTTTTCAAAATATGGCAGTGCTGCAATGATACAGCCCCAAACATTTTGTCCTGCACTAGGCTGTTCGTTTTGCAGGTAGAGTCCACAAGCCCTCCTTAAAAAAGCTCAGCTTCGACTCTGCTCAAAAGGTTACGTGCACACGGTGCGAGAATGCAAGAGCAAGCCAACTAATGCACCCAATGAATGCGCTGAGAAGCGCTATGTCATAAGTTCAGATCTCAACCACAGCGGGCAGATCGAGCTTACCCCGTTCATGGGGGGTGGTTCCCGTCGCACTTGGAAGCGGTCCATGGCGATCCTGAGGAAAACGGGCAAACATCAGTCATCCATTTGTGATAACACGCTTCTAAGACCTAAAATGACACGCTGCAGAAACAGAAGAACCACTCACTCGTGCTCGCCCGAATACCGGACACGACGAGCCAGGCGATATCCTGGAATGCAACGAAAATGTTTCGCCATTAAAACTATCAGCGAAGACTGCCTTTCAACATGGTGCCTGGAACATGTCCTTGACTGGTGTGTTTAGTGTCCTTTACTCCACACTTAAAGGGGGGAAATAAGTAATGCTTCGTGACTAGTCACTTTGACTGTTTCTAAAACTGAAAATTAGTATAGATCTTTTCTGCCCAATCATTGTTTGCGTTAAATACAAAATAAATGCCCATGGGATGCAGACATTGATAGACAAATGGTAAATAGAAAATATTTTCAGTATTGTTTTCGGGAAAGTTGTTAGATTTAATTTAATATAGCCAGACTGGTGCAATCTAAATCGTTATTTAAACTGTGATTTAAATCATCTCAATTTTTTTCTCTACTCCACTCACAAGGCAGCCGAAGAACAAGCACAACTTGTCCAAAACTAAAGGCCGAAGGACTGCAACAAAGTGAAGGAGGTTAACGACAACACGCTCCATGTTGCCGTTACTTTCCTCACCTTGTCCCTGGCCTTCGGCGCTTCTATCCAGTCAAAACGCAACTAGCCCAACAGTACTTCTTGTGGTCGAAAATGCTTAGAATTTGTCAAATTCGGCAAGGACAAATGATGCTGCGCTTACGGGCAAGTTTATACCATGCTCCCTTTCCTAAGATGTGAGGTAACAAAGTGCTTCAGTAAAATGCCAGTCACATGCCCTTAAAAAAACTCGCAAAAAAACAAAGCAACTCGCATGGTCATTGCATTTTCTAACGAGTGAGACTATGTGCTACTTACAGTACTCCTGCAGGGTGCTTAGGTAACCAATAAATAGTCATCCTCCAGTTTAGTGCACAAATTCTCAAACCAGGTGCCTGGACATCCAGAGGTTCCTACGAGTACTTCGAGGGCTGCCTCAAGAATCGAAATTGCTCCGATGTCCCAACAAACCGATTGTATGCAAGCTCACGAGGTCAGGGGCCAAGCCCGCACGTTTCGTACACAAAGCAACAGTCGTGTAGGAAAACTACATCAACTGAATGGTTTGGCCACGTGACCGCCATGGCCTTGTCACGTGACACTGATGACGTCCCTTCCATGTCGCGTTTTAACGTTGTTCGCTCTTGCGTAAATCCTTTCCGCATAGCTGGCCCCATCCGGCATTCTATGTCAAATATGTTGACACTATACTCGCCCAGTTTAGTACCTTCCCGCCATAATTGGGTTTGTGCTAAACGGGGCCTTCGGAGCACCAGTTTATCCCTGCCCTCAGCAATGCTCCAGATCTGCATAGTCGATAACTCACAAAACGCTTTAGCACATTCAAGGCTGACCCGCCACTAGCACACGGGATGGTAACATTGAGGCTGAATCAGCCATCATAAGCTTGCGAGCGACCGCAAAACTACCACCACGTAAAGACACACGGCAGCAACAGGGAATGCAACACTCAGAGGTGACGAAACCGCAGCCCACATTACCCTCTTCCGCACTGTCTCTACGGTGTCTTGGCCTCGGAGAGCGGGAGCTGTGGCTAGCGTGCGACCGTCTACTATGCAGCCTGGAACGATGAAGAGGCAAGTTTAGGCGACACTGCGGAGCAAATCTTCCGTCCCCCTATGCACCCAGAGTCTAGAACAACGCTCAGTTGCAACACGACAATCCAAAGACAACCTCTCATCACGGGTCAGATCTGCAAAATAAACAAGAATTAGAGCACCACCGTCAACCTATCGCATTACTATAAAATTGCCAATACTAAGACATAGTGATTTAAAACTGGTTAAGGTAACTAATATCTTTGGCGACAAGCAAGTTTCTAAAACACTAACGATTCAGTTATCTGCGAGTACAGTTCTACGAGTCTACGTCCATCCCTCTCAACAGCTCTCTTTATAAAAGTAGGATGTAATAGAATTAAAATTAGAGACTGACTCGGCAGACTTACGGTACCTGCACACTGAACTGCAATAACTGTACCAGAATATAAGTTTTCTCTCGGTGTGGACGAGTTTACTACAGCACCATAGCCACTTTTGCAATGCGTTTTTTTCCAACCCCTCATAGAACACGGAAAAACGAGTCTCATGATACAGGCAGCTCCGCGGTCTATGCTAGCGGTGTAACCGCCAAAAGTGAATAGGCAAGCATTTGCAAAGGCTCAAAAGTGGGATAGGAGGAGTATGCAGAAAAGAACACGGCACCTACCGCACGGCACAAGCCAACGCAACCCCCACTCAAAGTCTCCGAGACTTTCGCACTTTACGTCCGTCTGCTCACGTCACTCACTGGCACAGGAGGCCAAAAGTTTGGGAACAGCGAGCGACAGAAACAAAAAAAAAAGAGCGCCACCTTTTCTTCTACACTGGCCGGCCGACTTGGCTGGAAAGTCCAGCGGTCGCGGCATCTGTCCATCTGCACTTCTGAACCCACCCCCACCACAAAACACGGGGTTTCGCCGCGGGTTCCGACCCGCTGCCACATCCGTCCGCCTCGACACTTTCGCTGCACAGGCCACCGCACAGTCCGGGCAGAGACAGAGGGGGTGTTAGCTGGGTTGTCGAAAACGTCCAAAGTCCCGCCAAACGCCCCCCCACCTTCCTTCCGAAGCTAAACTTTCTTTCACGGTACGGCCCTTGGAGCTCTCGGGAAGGCCGCAGCCGCGAGAGGCAGAAGGGGAAAAGTCCCGACGGAGATTGGGGGTATGTGTGCACAAGGCGAAAGAGAGTTTGTCATGGGCCCCGCACGGCAACACGGGAAGAAAGAGAAACGGTTGGGTTATCAGAAACACATACAGTCCAAAAACCCCAGCTATGTTTCACCTAGTGTAGTTCCCTAAAGCAGTACCCTAATTCCCTCTGTAGCAAGTCCCATGTAACTGAAGAGTCCCCAAAAGTAGCTTATTGGCAGCCTCACTGCAACTTGCAAGCCCCATCAAAAAAAAAAAAAAATCTAACACTCTGTTTTTGATTATTCATTCATTAATAAAGGACTAAAGTAGCTTTAAAAGGCCAAAAACTTCCCACCCAGTGGGTTATGACCCCTCAGAGAACCCCTACACCAGCTCAGATGTATAATCCCTCCACTTTTGCTGGATGCTTCTCAGAACTTAAGAGCCCCTCCCTCCATTAGAGCAGTCTGCAACCACCTTTCATCACACAGCTTAGACTGTTCCCCTCCAACTGGGCATAAGATCCGTTCTTAGAACCATTGGCTGACATTCCCCCCAACCCCCTCTCCCCCATCTGTCTGACAACCCAAAAATGGTATCAGCAGCCCCTCTTTCAGAAATAAAACAACATTTTGCAGTGTAATGCCCCAATGTAAACCCTTCCTTCATTAGAACTCATCTGACGAGAATGCATCCAGGTCTTCCCAAAAACCTGCACATGAAGTGGGCAACCCCAACAAAAGAACACTGAAGTGGAAGTCTTCTTTCACTCGGTGTAGAACCCCTCTGAAGAACCTTGCCCGCTTAGAACCCCTCCAAGAGCATCGCGTCCATGTCCTTCCAAGAACGGGCACCTAGGACCGGCCATCAATAACACTAAAGCGAAAGTCTTCTTTCATTCGGTGTAGAACCCCCCTGAAGAACCTTTCCTTCTTAGAACCTCCCTTGAAGAACTTTTCATCTTAAATCCCGTCTGAGGAAGCCACATCCAAGTCCCTCCACGAACACTATAGCGAAGTCTTCTTTCATTTCCGGTAGTACTTGATTGAAAAACATTTCCTTCTTAGAATATCTCCTGAAGAACTTTTGCCTATTAAGACCCTTTTGAGGAAACCGCGTCCAAGTCCTCCCAAGAACACACACATATAGCACCGGCAGGCCCCTCTACCCAAGAAAAAAGGCACTTAAGCAAAAGTCCCCTTTCACTTAATGTAGAACCCCATCGAAGAACCTTTTTCTTCTTAAAACCTTGTCTGGGGACACTGTGTCTATCTCCAAGAGCGCGCATATAGTGCTGGCAGCTCCCTCTACCACAAGGAACACACGCTGAAGCAAAAGTTCCCTTTCACTCAACATAGAACCCATCTGAAGAACCTTTCTTTCTAAGAAGATCTTAGAATGCCGCATCCAAGTTCTCCAAGAACACGCACTAGTGCTGGCAGAACTCTCAACAAGGGAAGAACACTGAAGCGGAAGTCCCCTTTCACTCGGTGTAGAGCCCCTCTGAAGAACCCGTCTGAGGACGCCGCGTTTGTGCTCATCTAAGAACCGAAACGCAGATCTCCCCGTCTCCTGCGAGGAAACCGCACTCCAAAGCGCAAGTCCCCTTTTCATTCGCCGAAGAACCTTTTCGGAGCACCCGCCGAAGAACTCAGCGTCCGCACAAGACCAGACCACGCAGGCTCTCTGCACGGCCGTGGTCAGGTGACAGTCCCGCAGGCACAGGCAAACAATAGAGTCCACGGCAAGTGGCAGCGGCGTGGGGCGGCTAACCTCGCCAGAGTGTGCCGCTGGCGCGCATCCTCGTTGCTACCGCCGCCGCCGCGGTGGTGACGCCGGTGGCGCGATGACGAACGGCGCGACGGAGAGTGGTGCCTGCGGCGCGACGAGCGCCCACTACGATGGAGGATGGTGCGGAGGTCAATGAGCTCGTCCACAGGGAACAGGCGGCACAGCTCTTCCGCCACCCGGGGCTCGATTTCCTGAGGGTGGGGGAAAAAACGACATTGATTAATTTTTTAACACACATTAGGTATGTGATGAACAGGTGTTTACGAGATGGGCATGCTGTTACAAAACAGCTTCACAAATGATTCGATTTCCCATTGCATTTCAAGAAGGACAATTTATCATAATATGAATTTCAACAATCCTAGCAGCTCGCGATAATGTCACACCCACTGTTCGTTGAATAGATTTGGCTCCGCCCTTTTGAATTGGATGCAGCTTGAGCCCCCTGCACCGACTGAGGGAAGCGATGAGACGGTGATGGCACAGGCAACACCCGGCCTCAGGAAGTCTAAAATAATGAGCAAAGCAATTGGTGTGGTCAGCAACCTCCGCCGTGGTTCTCCTCCCTTTCTGCATCTGTTTCACCCGCATGAAGTACATAGCAAGTTTCTGTTTCAGCACGGTGTCACAGGCTAAGAATCGAACAAGACTGAGAAAGATGTGAAGAGGTTCCAATGTCGTGACTCAAGTTTGTTGCAAAAACTGAAGGGGGGCACTACCCAAAAAAAAAGTTCTGCAAAAAGAGATGCTGTGCTTTTGTCGACAACATAAAAAGTAAGAGGCAAAATTTTGTGGACGATATAAACAGCTTTCTCTAGCTGCGCGTCATTATCATTGTCATTGTTACCATTTTGTTTGGTTCATTTGCCATCCTGCGGTCGTGAAACTGCACCTCTCATCACTCCCATCTCGTCTCAGTGAATCATGCTTTCGGGCTGCGCTGGCTTGGACGTCTTGGCCCTATCTGTTCTTACGGCATCAAGAAGTGTCGCCAAGAAGCACGGAAAATACTCTACCGTAATGCAAGAAAAAAAGGCAGTGATTCTCAAGCTAGTGGAAAGTGGCCGATGCAAGCAAAGGCAAAGGTGCGCAGGAGTAACCTGAAGCAAAGCACTATTGACGGCTTTTTCTGAGCCCTCTTAGACGTAATAAAGGTAAGTTTTTTAATCTGCCGATTTTTGGGACTGTTCTTTTATTCCGACATTTTTTCAGTCCCTGCAAAGTTCGAAAAATTGGTCAGCGACTGTAGCCTTAATGTCTTACAACGCACCCAAAGTATCACTCATCCATGATGCTTGTTCGCGACGCTCATTGATAAAGCTCACTGATAATGCTCGTTGATAACGCTTGTTCACAACGCTCGTCCATGGTGCTCATTCATGACAATCTTCTCACAGAAAACGACACGTAAAACAGACTCGGCGTTGAAAACACAGAGGAAGCTTGGAGTTATTGTGTCTATGAAACGACATCGTCGGAGCCAACAATCTGACATTACTCTCGTTTCCCTCAATGGAAGCAGAAGTAATCCCGCTAGAGACGTCAGGGCGAGCAATGAGCTAATCGTGGAAGCTTGACCGCAGCGACTCTTTTGGCTGCGCACGTCGCCAACAGAGAGTTCGGCAGCCGGAAGAGCAGGATCACCCACCTGTCCGTCCCTTCCGATCTTGACCTGCTTCCCTTCGTTCCACGGATTGTACAAATGAGTGGTCTTGGTGAATGGCAGCTCCCTCCTGAAAGGGAGCCCTTAAGTTGAGGAACGCTTCTGCCGCATCTCGCGGAAGAGCGACGAAATGAACAAGGCGTACCTGCAGATCCAGTCCACGTGGAAGACCCCTCCCAGAGCCCTGGCACTCAGACCCGGGGGCAGCACCCACTGGATCGGCGGGCAGTTGTGGGTGGACTCGGACGCCAGACGAGCAAAACCTGGGGCGGAGTTCATAGTTTGCGACAACTTCCTCCTTTGGCGGGGATCGGGACCTCTCGAGACGCAGACCAGCCGGGCCGATACAGGGGGACAATATGGAGGCACGTGGAGCGACGTAGATCTATCAGTTGATAAGCTCTACGGAAGTGCCTCGTTCGAAAATGGTCCTTCCCTCAAGAACAGGTGGATGAAATTTCTAGCGCCGGCGGCAGCACTGCTACCACGGGCGATGGAGGAAAAGATTTTGAACAACGCTCTTCCTGCAAACACTTTATGTCCATCATAGAAACAACAATAGAATCGCTTTTCACCCCGGGCAATGTGCATCCGACGTCCCACCAGTTCCGTCGCTCCTGTTCATATCGGTCGAGCTGATGCGTAGCAAGCGCCACCGAGCGAACATGACATGAAGGGGCGCTAGGCGTTCCAGGAAACTAGTGAGTCAACTTTGATTGAATAATGTCATCACATCACCGAATTTGAATTCACCGTAGCGGTCTGTCAGCCCAACATTGGCGCCGAATACGACGACGTAAGCCATTAGCACAAACAGGTCACGCATTTCAGCCGCATTAATAACTCATCCTTATCACGTCACCACCGGCTCCGAATCCACAAGGTCACTCGCCATGACATCAAGAACTCATCAAGTATATAAGGTAACCTACCATATCCGTACAAGCTCATTACACCTCACAGAGTCGCTCAGTGTCATTCAGAATCATACAAGTGTAAGTGACAGTGATAGAGTGATTTCGTGGGTGAATTTGTCAAAGCTATTGGTGAGCGAAGAGGTGCCAACTTGTTAAGACTCTGTAGTCTGCACCAAACGTGGCACACCTTTAAGTGGTCTACTTCATGACAAAAAAGATTGCATAACGTTCGACAAACAAAAAATATTCGATGTTAGCTCAGATTCAAATGGAGACCCCAAGATTGACGAGCTAACCTAAAATTACTCGTTTGTGTCAATTAGTGTAACCAGAGTCCTTCAATAAGCTATTGGTCACAAAACGTCTCCGTAACGCTGTGGAAGAACTTGGTGCGCAACCACGCACGACGCTGGAGTCGACGAGGGGGCCAGGAGCTGCCAATCTTGCCTCTACTGCTGAGAACTCGGCAATCCAAAAGTGTGTTGGAATTTTGAACCCCCTTTTAATGAGCCACCTATATATCGAGATAACATGTCGCCGTACTAACATTGTTTCTCATTAATGTAAGCGTCTTTGGCTCAGTACACCCAATCAGATGCTCGAGCTTATATATCTGCAACCTTCTTCAACATAATATGTATCACTTTGATTCCTTTTTCTTTTGTCAAAATGACCTTTCAATGCCCCCTTCCCCCTCCAGAGTAAAAATTCAGCACCACACCTAGCACTATCTAGTAGAGGCAATGCAAACCAGTACGCTCAATTGCCTACCGTAAAATCCCGTAAGGAATATTACGGTAGGCAATTTACAATACTCAATTTAGGGGACGGGCAATCTCCCCCGAGACTGCCCGTCCCGTTTTTTTGGCTAAATATCCGCAACATAAAATTTCTGAAACATCGCCCACCCGATTCCCGACGAGAATAATGTCAACTGCGCGAGCTGCAGTACCAGTACGTATGACAAGAAGTTTCGCAGCGGTTCCCACATTTTTGTCCGCAATCTGCGCACGCAATATCAGTTCTTTAGACATAAGAGTTCGCGTGTTCTCACATTGTTTGATTGCGATCTGCGCGCGCGATATTGGTTCCGGTGGCACGCAAGTATAGACGGTTTTCGAGCGTTTATAGCACCGTGAAACACGAATGCCCTGCATCTGCAGTCTGTGGTACTGTCGTACACCGTGGTACAACGAAGTCAACGGGAATCGGAAATCACTTCGCTATATCCGCCATTTTGTTATAACCGACTTCGTTATAACCGGACTTGACAGTACCTTTCCCGTGACACAGGAGTTTGCAGCAAATTTACGCCTGTTATCGCATTGTGAAACGGATCTTTGTTGTGCCCGCAATCTACAGTATCAATTCTCGTGTCCCGTGGTTATGTGTTTATCATTATTTTTTATAAAGTTTTGCTGTCTCAACCCCAAAGATAGCCCCACCCCATATTTTTCACCATTTATCTCTTCATTTGGCATTTACGGTAGCTCTTTTTCGTTTGCAATAGCATTGTTTTCTTTGAAAACAAGCGAAAAAAGCCTATTTGGAAGTTCTCTTGTTAGAGATCAATAAAGAATGACTGGTGCTTGCACACAGTGATAAACACAGGCGTAACAAAATTTCGGTATCGAGAAATTGTTTGTTAACTCTCATAATTCGCAAGTTCGGTGTGGCTCACTGAGTGGGGTGGCCAAATGAAAATGCCCCTCTCTAGGACAGTAGCACCCCTAGTGGCAGTTATCAACCCTGTACCGATGTTCGGCTAGAGTATTGTGACCAGTAGGGTATTAAAGGACTCTGGCGTAACGAAGGAGTTGAAAGCAATCATTTCTAAGGTCATGGCACAACTAACAAAGCAATGGCTTACCTTGGAACTTTCCACTCTCTTTGACAGAGTACACCAGGATGACATTCTTACACTCCTGTAAGAAAAAAAGAATAAACATGCTTTTGAAATCCTTAAGTTGCAAAGAAGCATCCAGAAACAAGTAGCAACAATAAAGGATGGCAACCAAACACAGTGCAAAATTTGTGTCTCACTCTGAAGGCTTGATTCAGCTTTGCCTCGTTCTGTGGTGGGGTTGACCAGACTCCCTAAAAAGAAAAAAACAATAAACATTAACTCATTTTGTTTTACTGTCACAAACAAAACAGACACAAGTTGGCCACAGGAGACCAGTGACCAAGCTGTTCCCCTGTTTCCCCTATAATCGGAACCAACTCCGGTCTCTTCAACACTAGTCCCAATTAAAACAAACAGTGCCAACAAATGGCCTGGTAACATGAATGCCATTAACGTGAAGCACATAGAAAATTTTACACTATCTTGATTATGCTGACAAAAACCGGGGAATCCAGAATGTGTTCAGCTACCATATTCATGAAGTGTGGGTGCTGCACACGCCATCTGTGATGGTGGGAGGTGGGTCCGACATGTGCCGGACTAGTGCGAACCACACACTTCATGCGTACGGTAGCTCAGCACATCCCGCAGTCTTCGTCAGCATGACCAAGCTAGTGTAAGTTTTTTGCTTGAGAAACCAACTGTTGGCTAACCCCACTCACATGCTCTGCTTAGCTCAATCGGTAGAGTATCTGGCTGGGAATCACACTGTCCCAAATTGAATCCCCGTCACTAGTGTTCTTCCCATCGGGTTTTAATGACTGCCTCTATGGGCTTATTAGGGGTCACATAACTAATCTATCTGCAATGGTCCAGCTTAGAACTGAGTGTTACAGCTAAGCATTACAGTTCTTACCAAAACTTCATTGCAGGCAATTAGAGTAAGCCAGTTCCGTTTTTCTCAGCAAATATTGGCTATAGCGGGGCTTTTATTATACGGTAACCAAGGCTTACCAGAGCTTAAAGGGACCATAAAACAATTTTGAAATCGAATTTCATCCACCGCACGTCGTAAAAAAATGTGTAAAGAAAACAAAAATGCAGAAACAGAGAGCCAAAAAAAAAATATTTCGCTATAGAACTTTTAAAAGAAAAGTGGACTCTTTTATACCTTCTTTCCTCCGAAAGCTCTGCGCCTTTTCACTACAATGCATCCGCGGTGCCAAGGAATGTCAGCCAAATCCACGTCTCCTATTGGATAAGAGCCTACCTCACCAGCCCCACGATCATGAACGAAAAATAGCCGGTGAAAGTTTCCTCAAAGTTTTGTTGAAGACTATTCTGATCCATGTTTTGTTAAATAATTAGCGATGTGATGGAAATTGATGAATTTTATAACGCTCGGAGCTATGCGCCACCTATCGTGTGGTAAACGAAGCAAGAGAAAGATAAGACTGCGCCTGCACTGTTTCACTGTTCCTGCTCTCTGCTGAAAAGCATGGCGTCGATGGTGACCATTGAGCTCATCGCTCCGCGTAGAGCGCAATCCTTGACTGAAATCTCGTCGCATGTCGCGATGATAACCCAGCACGTCCTAAAAGGGAAGATCCATCTCCTTGTGCACAATGTTGTAGCGGCACCCTCAAGACAACAAAAACGCTCGTGCCGTCGTCCTTGTTTACTTTGTCTACAGTGGTGCTTTCTTAGCATTTGTCTCCTTGAACATCGCCCGGATTTCTTATTTTGCGCATTCCATGCATGTGCTCAAGTTCAGGGTACGACTGGTGCGTGCTGCACTTAAAGGTGTGTAGGAAGGATGCGAATTTTGACGCATTTTCATCACCCGAAAAAAGTGGTTAGTGTTAACATTCTTTGAACGATCGCAACGTCTATGTCAGTGGCCTCAAACTCATTTGAGTGCGGGGGGCCAGATAGCCCACCCGCTGTTTAGTCAGTGACATCTTCAGCTTTGATTCATTTATAGGACTACTTTGGGCATGTAACAATAATTAAAATGGCACCACTCCTACGAGAGCAAGCACACTGTCGTTTCTGTTAACCAATTCACTCTGGAATTATTCACACTCAAGATTTGAAGGAAATCTCTTCATATGACATTGCTTTGTTTCCTTGGGATTTTTGATAGCAGCAGTCTAAAAAAACTACTTGTAACTGAATGGCGATTTTTCCTGAAGGCAAAAATCTTAAGCTCTTAGCTTTATCTTTGGCAGTTCCTCTGCTGAGCGAGAGTTTGTGCAGCCGAAGCATGTCTTTGAGAGAAGTGCTCGCGCTTGCAGCCTAAAATCGAAATTCTGGTACACGTGACTAACATGACAAAAATTGAGGAAACAAAAATTAAAAGAAGACACAAGTCAAATAAATGAAAACAAAATAGTAACTATGTAAATATGTTATAAGAGCAGAGCTATGTTTTAAGCGGAAATAAATCGGCAACGTGAGATCATTATAGCGCCTGCCATTTCTAGCACTCAAAACATTGGAACGAGGACTTGCAGCCCGTTGCCTGGAAGCCGCGTCCCAGCGAGTCGCATGCGGCCCGCAGTCCACGTGTTTGAGACCCCTGGTCTATGTGATCACGAAATTGTATTTCTATGTTTATATATTTCTGCTAAGTTTACATTGTTGTTTTGGAATCGCAGAAAAGGCGTGTGGTCGAGATTTGTACCATCGGTAAAGTCGTGTTTTAAAGTCGTGATCGTCCAAGACGGCGTACTGCATCTTTTTCTTTCCTTTTTTTCATTCACTCTACCCCGCGAGCCTACCTTGACAAAATAAAAGTTAATAAAGCTTGAGCCCATAGAAAACTCTGCGAACTTTATGCTACGCCAGTGAGTGACAGCACGTCCCCTTTTTAGAGATACCACAAAAACGGCCGACGGCGGCAAAGAAGTGGCTCTTGTGCTGACGACCTGCTGCGCTTTGCACCGGCGTATGAGGCCAGTCTCATGCTGTCGCTGTTGTGCCAGGGGCGGATGCAGGAATTTTCTGAGGGGGGGCGGGGGTCAGGTGTTAGTCAGCGTACCATTTGTTTAGGAACCCCCTCCCCCTCTTCCTCGTTTCACGGCCTAAATTTTACACATGCAGAAATCAAACGGGGGGTCAGGACATCCGGACCCACCCTCTAAATCCGCCCGTGTTGCGCAACATATCTAAGTGAATTTCGCTCAGCTGCGATGCGTCCATGACTATCGCAGTGATGAGAGGCGCCGATTCAGAAAATATGTTAATGGCATCGGCGCCGCACAGTAAAACCCCGTGGTAAAACCTACCGGCACACCGCCAGCTCGCCGTTAACGCTCCCTTTCTCCTACTGCCCGGTGCCATAGTACGTCATGACCGTCAAAATTATGGCGCGGCTTGTTTTGCGGTGAGATGAAGAGGAAGGAGAACTCAATATTTCAATAATTTCTCGTGTAAAAGTTAATAAACCGAAACGAAAATGCATGCCTGTTCGGCATTCAGTGAACATTAAAGGTTTAATGTATAAGTTATTTGGCAAAAGTAAAAAGGTAATATCATGGTTTCTTTAAAATAAAGCAAAGCCTACGGGTTCAAACCACACCAGCTAAAGTACAGAGGGTGACATTGTTACCACGAACAAGCCACTGACCGTTTTTCTGGCTGTTCTCTCATATCTAAAATTCTGCCATCACAACTAATATACTACTAGACTCTGTTGTAGGTAACAAGACCAGGACAGAGACTGTCCTGGTCTCGTTACCTACAACAGAATATAGTACTATATTAGTTCAAAACCCCAACAGATTGAAGGGCCCACAAAACCCTTCACTTTTTCTTTTTAGCAGAGCAAAAGCTGGAGCGGCACCGAGCAGAGACTTGCCTCTTCTCCAGTGTTCACTCTGCTAAAGTGGAAAGGGTGAAGGGTTTTGCGGGCAGAGCTTGTCCTGGCTCCATGACCATCAACAGACTATAGTGCAGCTGAATCCACTCATTTTATGAGTATTACCCCCTCCCCCCAAAAAATGCCAATGTCATGTTTACATAGCGTACAAGGACTCTTGCACCTGCCTTGGCTTTGGAGAGTGCCACATTCTCGTGGTTGTTGCTCTTCACCAAAAAGAATCTGGCGTTGCGGAAGAAGTACTTCACCAGGTGATGGTCCGAGGGTTCAGAGTGCTCTGGAGAAGCGAGGCAAACAGTGAGTCCACTCACAATGACAAGGCAACAAACAACAGGGCCTCAGCCACACAGTCATCCACTCACCTCTTCTGCTCGAAGATGAGAACCTGGAACGTTTCTGGGCTCCTGAGAGACAAAAGAAAAAATGAAGCTGCATTATTCACTGAAATGTCTGCTTACATGAAACCATGCAAAGCGAGCAGTATAGACCCTTTCCGAAATTGTGAAATGATGCATAGATTATGTGCAGCTGCCATTAGTTGGTCTCATCGCTTCCGGCATGAAGCCCACGATTGGTTCCGAGTTCGCATTGAGCACTGACGCAGCACTCGTGTACAATGTGTTACGATCCAACTACACTCCGAATGCTGACAAAGTGCTCATGTCCGATGCATGAATAGCGGCCACACATAATCTATGCATCATTTTATAAAGGGTCTATCGTACTAAAGGATGTGAAACATATGTTCCAGGTTTCCACTGAAATGTCTACTCACACGAAGCCATGAAAGGGCATTTTTGTACAAAATAAATGTGAAAACATGCTCCACAGTTCTTTCGCACGTGCCTGTTCGACAAGCAGATGTGACCCTAATTGCGTTTTTCTTAAAACATCCAGCCACTCTGCACCAAAACTATTCTCAAAATTCCACTTGTGCATCGGGGCTTCCACCAGCAACCATTTTAGCAGCGCGACAAGACCAAAGTCAGGTCATTCCGCCATTTTCATTTTAAATGAGACGGTCACACTTGCACACTAACATGAATAAACAAGGATCAGCCCCTATTGTTGTGCAAGCGTGCCAGCGAGATCTAACACGTTATAAGACCGGACAGACCGTCCTTACTTGACGCCCGCCCGAGTGTGACAAATGCAAATTAGACGCAACTGCTAAGACAGTGCAAGTACATCCTACCCTTGACGTATGGCAACGCTGGTTCGTGTAGTAGATGTTAATTTTGGCCAGTGCAGCAAGACTGCTAACCCGGGATCTCTAACGTGCATCACGCGGTAGTGATTACACGAGCGCGCATGAGTGTGACGATCGTCCGTATTGAACTTGCAGGGGCAGGATCCAAACCTGGTATCCCTGGCTACTGCGACGCAAGCTTTTGCTCCACGTGTTCAAGCCACGCTGCACTCAAGTCTTGGTCACGCACTTGCAACTGACCGAGTGCGTTCCGACCTCTTATGATCTCTTACAACGAGAACAGACAGGCACCATTTGTTGGCTAGCCGTGAAACACTCGTGATTTCTGAATATTCTATGTTTGCACATCATTCTTTCTCTACTCACTAAAAAAGCTTTTGACAATCTTATAAACGACCATTTCGCGTTGACAGCATGTACATCTGATCTCGCAAATACTTCAGAAACCTTCGCTACAGCAAAATGCTGTTGCAGAACCACCTGATAGACGATGACAGAGTGCCATTGTGTCCTCTCGTCGTAACACATCACAAGGAGTCGTAAGCAGTCCTAAGTGCGTGAACCGACGTCAAAACGATGGGCCCTCGATCCTTCGCTTCGCACGATGGCAGTTCGTAAACCTTGCAGTTCGACCACACATCGCACGACTGCCAGGTAAGGCCTCATTCATACAGCTGGCTCCTCGTCCCATCCCGGCACCAGCGCCGTTGTCAACGAGGTAGAGGGGCTTAGAGCGATAAACCAGGGTTCCGGTCTGCACTCGAAAGTGACCCCCATAAGGCGGCTGCCATTGTACGCAAATTTGACCACACGTCACATGATCAAACCAAATACGTGACGTCACAGGAAAGATGGCAGCGCCCATGCAGCGGCTGGCCCCAGCTGGGCCGGAGGTTGTCGGATGCTTTGTTGGTTGTCGTTCGTCTCGGCGAGTTGATTTCAGACGCGGAAACCGTCATATGAGGCCGGTCGAAAGCGAGTTCAGAGTTCAGCGTGGTGTTTGACGTACGTATAACGTGAAAATAAGGAGGAACGGTGTGCATTTCGCTGGTGACCGACGGCGATATTGCCACGGAAGAGACAATCTGCCCTACGTTGCTCGCACCTCGGATTGATTCGGATACCGCTAGGATAAAATTTAAGGCGGCGTTTCTGTGCTCTTGTTGACCGTCGGAACCTTCGAGATCTGCAGTAAAGGGTGTGCAATATATTTGGATACACAGTTTAGCGACGGAAATTGCGTGAGTCGTGCTTGGCAGTGTGCAATCGTGGTGTCGCTTCGTCCAAATGCCCTAAGGCTCACTTTGGTTGTGCGGTGCACCGGAGAGCTGCCTCGCCGCTTTTAGTTCCCGTGCCGTGCTAAGTGATACTGTGCTGCTTCCCAAATTGTTTCGGCGTAGACGTGCTCTTTTACAGAGCACAGGTGTGCGGCGCGCCGAAGAGCTGCCTTCAAGCTGGTAGTTCCTGTGCCGTGCTTTAGGTGATACTGTGCTGCCTACTAAATTGTTCTGGCGTAGACGTGCACCTTCACTGAGCACAGGTGTTGCAGTTGGTATTGAGTCCGCTGGTCTGTCGCACGTTTCCTCGACACCCAAGTTTCAACACTCGTTACGCGAATTGCAAGCTGTTTGGACATTTCATTGCGCGCGTTACCTACCCAGTCCACCCATTCACGCCGCTTTGCGACGGATGTCTGCAGCGGCTCATTACCAGAAAAGTGGTCTCACATCGATTTCAGTTCAGCTCGTCCACGGCAGTCGCCAGACCCCGAAGGAGAGGATTTATTCAGACAGAATGCCACTAAAGCAGTGCAGCTTCTTTAGTGGTCCGGATAGACTCTTTTCTGTCTGTTTTGTTATATTGTCTCGGATGCTTACTCCAGTCCCATTTTCTATCAATATTTACTATTCTGGAAAGTTCCAGGCCATGCTCAGCTGTCATTGTATGTTCTGGTGGAGGTGCTGCGCACTTTACCCATAGCCCTTCACTCTGTGTCTACCCTGGCGGCTCCTCAGCCGAGTTGCCCGATAACAAGACACGGGTGGCACATTATCCCAAGTCTTAAACCCCCGGCGAGCCGTGAACCAAGTCTTATCCCGAGCCCGGCAGCAAAATTTCAAGACGAGGGAGTACCACAAGGGCGAAACTCGGAAATACACTACGAAGAACTTGAAATTTAAAAACCACTCTGCTACCATTGCATGAGGCCGACCTTGTCTACTGGAGGTGCCCGTACCAATGAATTGGCTTTCAAGGGTTCGTGCCGAACGACCCTCGACCACGTCTTGACGAGCGTCCGGGGAAGATTGAGGATTATCTTCGGCGGTCTTTGTCCCTGGTGCCGACATGACCCCAAAGCTTGTGATCTACTTCATCTGGACGGGAGGTAAGCACGACAAAGCAGGTGAGCGGCAATGCAAGGAGAGTTGATCTGGTGTCGGTTGTCGTCCAAGGACAATACCTAATAATTTGCTGTCACTAATTATCTGTGTCCACGCCACGAAGCACACAATTTCCAACTTTGAGGGAGAATGCCGCTCAGTGACCTTAAGAAACAGAATGGTTGGTTTCTCTCAAAAATGGACTGCAAACGTCACGAGACTTCACTTTGCCACACAAGACTTCCACAAGTTGCAGTGGTCGTGGGATGCACAATAAATCTCCATTACGAAATGGAAGTGAAATGGCTTGGATAGCAAACATTGTTGTCAGCTATCAAGTCAACGGTACAGCAAAAGGCACAGCCATATAACCAATACATGCCCGAGGTTGCTGCATTGATGCAGAAAACTACCAGGACAATTTTGCGGATTAGAAGCCAGCCCTGCAGCTTCAGTGCATCAGATGTCAGTAGGCACACATGACGTATGATTACAAGACGGCATCAGTCGGTTTTTGCTACTCGACCATACTGAACACCGACGTGCCAGGAGCGTCATCCTACAACAAGGTCCACAGGTATTACGATTGAACGCCTGACAGGAGACTGTCGCAGAAAGAACTCATTCTGGAACCATTAACTAAGAATCTATAATTATGTAATGCAGTGGAAATAAACATTTGATACACTAACCAGATAAACCTATTTCCGCTTGCCTTTATGCCTTGAGAGTTTATACACCAAGAATAGTGTTCATCACACGTGCAGGTCCTTTTGAGGACACTCGCATCTCTGACCCTTCAATATTAATTGATGGGACATACCAGACTGGCAGACTTGTTGCATTGGGCTGCACTCATTCCACTTTTTCTGAACACACCTCTGAGCATATACTTTAATCGTATGTGTTGATGCATTGTTATATAGCAGGACACTTCCTATACGTAGACCCTTTGCAGAAACCCATCAAGCAACACAACCGTTGCCATTTTTTTTCGGCGTAAAGCACACAAATGGGCCCCAGTTCACGTCGAATGCTAATGCAGCTTTTCGAGTCCGATAGGCGCTGAGCCGAGTTCACAGTGATGGCGGACGTAACATTCTTGTTGAACAAATGACCAAAGTATGAAAGCCTGGGGTAATTAGAGTAGTAGCTACTGTAATTTGTTTCATCACAATTTGGCAAACAGCAAAGGCTACAGTCTCGGTGAGCCAATATGCACGTTGGAGAGAGGCACATTACAACATGTCATTCAGAGTGCTCGTTTGCACAGATTTGTCACACACCTTCGCTTTGTTTCTCTGAGGAGGCTGTGGTGGTTGTCCTTTTCCAGGTTACAATGATACGAGGTATAGGCAACCCACACTTTTCAAAAAAAGGTTATTGAAGAGACCGAAAGGAATGGTCAACATTTTTCAACAAGACTGCTCTTCAGGCAAGGGATGAACACAAATATGAATCATCTTATCCAGGTAATTAGACCAAGTAAATAATTGACTGACTAATACAATGCAGTTTTGATGAAAAAAAGTATTGCTGCAATAAATCCTACGAAAGGGAAAAAGGTGAACAAAAGGTAAGGGCGCAAACGAGCTGGTGGTGGTTAAACATTTCGACAAAAACCCCGAGACTGGGACAAAAAGGGACGGACAAGTGCACTTAATCTATGCATACACCGAAACAGTTGTTGTTATTGCAAGTCGAATAGCTTTGAAGCAGGTGCCTGCAACGATTTATTCATCCCCACTCAATAAAACGTCATCCTCGTAGCTGAAAATAAGTGTGCACTTCGCACTCACCAAAAAAGGAAGAAAGGCGATCGAATGTAGAATCGTCGATTAGCACAAAGGGTTAAAAATCGCAGGAGCTTCCTCGCTAAAAGTTGGTATGGTTATTCGGTGACGCAGGCCTGAAACAACTTCTCCTAGGCCCTAACGCGACGTATACCTTTCGCGTCGATTCATAGACATTTCAATGTTCAAACAAAGCTAAGAGAACGCAAAAATTTCATGCTAAAAGCACTCAAAGTTCTATCGATCCTCAAACACATCCCGGAATCCGAGCACCGGTACGGCGATACGGCTGATGCTGTCTCACAGGTATTAATATCCATATGATCCAGAGCGATCTTGCGCAAAAAGGGTATAAAGTCTCATTCCTTCATATTTTCACAATATACCTGCGTCAGCGAGCACGAAAAAGCCCGAAGTCGTCGGAAAGCCGCTGCACATCACGGCTGCCGCGCACCGAACAAACTCGCATCCGCCAGCTCTGGGCGCTGCCATCTTACCTGCGACGTCACGGCTCTTGTGAGGTCACGTGACGAGTGGTCACATTTGCGTAAAACATGGCGGCAACCGGGGGGGTGCCACTTCGGGACTTCCGGTTTATCACTCTAAGCCCCTCTACCTCGTTGGCCGTTGTGCCAAAATCGGGACGGTGCAGCGACGGAGCAACCTGCCGGAGGTGGCTACGTGGATGGATGCATGATGGAGGCTGTGCGCCCTATATTGGGCAATAGCTTGCGCCACCTAGCCTAGAAACCTTTCTTTCAAACTCTGTGTCACATTTTTGCATCCCGTAAGACTATAACCGGTGTAACCCGTTAATGTTGTGTGCAATTTCACACTTTCCTTGATCTCTACCACCAATATTGTGAACCCCTCTTTGTGACAACTTTGTGGCAGCACCGACCGCCAAATGTAGCGGATAATCAACAATGATGGATGCTGCCACAACTGTTTTGTTTCTTGTAGCTTGTGTTGAGGTCGACAATAACAATCTTGCACGTTTGAAAACATTTTATTCGACTCTACTTCTCGAAACAAAACCGACAAGACCCACTGCGAGCACGTTTCACATCAATCACTCGTTATGTCAGATTTCTTCCCCATTTATCGACCATTGTATCTTCTTTTTTTGGCTGTTCTTCCTTAAAATCGCATTCACATCTATCGTAAAGGAACCAATGTGGTTTTACTAGTCCAAGCAGCAGCTCAGCAGTAAATCCAAATTTCTGTTTGCCTGCTGTTCAAGAGCCGTAAACGTCACACAATGCGCACGTCGTCTCACTCCTTTTAGAAAAGAGCTTCATTGGCTTCATCGTTGGGGTATGGTACGGTCAATCCCCCTTACTGCGGCCGTGCCCATGGTCACACAACTTTCGGGAATTCGCCATATTGAGTGGAAGTTTCCTATTCTGGGACTGGTCAACCCACGCTAGGACAAGACACTGGCACTCTCGTCCCATCCCGTCCCCGTCCGCATAGGAGACATAGAACACCATCTTTCGGTGCACCTCGGGTCCAGTAACACGATTTGCGTCCTAAACCGGTCCGAAAACCGTCTCCCCTGGCAAGAACGCCACCCGGCGCTCCTGCCGGGAAGGGGGAAAAGCCGGCTGCGTGAATGAGGCTTACGAGAGGCATTGGACACTCAAAAAACACAAACGCAGCGAATCGTGGCAATTTTTCGACATTAGCTGAGAAGAGGAGTGACAGATGAGAGCTTACTTTCGGCACTCCTGTTCTTCCGGTCGTAGACAATTGGGGAGTGACGCCGCTTCCTCGAAACGTGCTGCCTCGGGGAGTGTTCGGCTGAAATGGAAATGCGATCGAGTTGAGGTGTCGCGAAACCAGGTTGAGGCACATCCGAGAGACGTGCATTCCAAAATATGGTAAACTCCTCCATATTCGAAAGTAGAGACACCACCACATAGCCCTAGCAAAAAACCGGCACTCCTGCCACCTGCCAACAAATTGTACTTATCGGCCTTTTAAATCTAAGGCGCACATATGTTGTACATGTATCTTTTCTTTTTCCTCCCAGGATCAACATAGCCGACATCAACCAACCAGAAACCTCGGTTGGCTCGATTCTTCCGATCAGATGGACACTACAGAATACGGTACTCCAAGAATGTTCAGTGACTCTATACTTGTTTTCGTTTCAAGAACTTAAAAAAAAAAGTCCTTGGCACCTTGCAGAGCATTTATAAAAACAACATATTTGAAGCACGAAAACCAGTTTTTTTCTCTGACAACCAAAACTTGAAAGAAGAGTACTTCGTGCAGTGTGTGAACTAGGCAGAAAACTTCAGTTTTCCTTGGGGTGACCACAGGTTTAGAGCCACCTGCAGAGTACCGAGTTCCATATTGAGAGCAATCCAACTTAACTTTAGGAGTCGCTCGAACAACTCAATTAAATAACGAGGGCTTTTCGATGCCACTCCAAATTCGGATAAAGTGACTTCATGTTTGGGCCACTTAGGCAGAGTCTTCGAACTGGCAAATGCCGGGCGGGTAAAGACGGGCAGAAGAGAAAGCTAAGTGTGATGGACTCGGTGAAGGCTGTTTCGTCCGCTACCTTCAGCTGCTGCAGTTTACTCTCTTCTCCTAGCAGTACTGCTGGTTACCTGTGGGATTGTAACGGGAGGGCACATCACACTAAAAGGTGCACTGGCCAGGTTAACCTGCTTTGCTTGCACATTGTGCAAACAATGCCTTCAAAACCTAGAAGTGTATGTATACATGGGCTGTTCAGTGGTTCCCAGACTCTGCTATACTGCGACCCACAAAAAGGTATCCAAAAATATGTTGCGACCCCCCTCCCTTCGGTGAAGCTTTTCGATTTCAGTGCATGAACAATAGTACACAAAATGAATGCCTGAAATTTTATTTGACAGTTAGTATAGTCTGAATGAATCAGCTAAACTAAATACCAGGGACAAAAACCGTAACCAAAACAAAAAATTGTTTAGGAACAAAACTTTTGCAGTAACCATAACCAAAATGGAACCGTTATTTGAAATTTATGAAAACCGTAACCATAAATTATTTATTAACAACCTAACCTAACCTAACCTAAACGAAAAATTAAAATATTTGTTTTTCTCCAGAATGACTTCGAGGAGAGACTTTGAAATGTCGTGGCCATTTGACAAGGTTACCGTCAGTGAGCGATGCATATGATAATACATTTCCGTACACTAAATTTAGGATTAAGAATACTTAGTTGGAATCAGTGGTCAACAGGAATGACTGTTCATACTGACTAAAGTGAGCTCGTCTGTTTCTCAAAATGACGACAGAGTTTGGACACCGCTACTCTCAGTTCCGGCTCGATGTTACAAACTGCACTTTGCGTTCATCGACGCCACCGTTTTAAATAGGAATGTTGGACGTCCATCTATCTAATGTTGGTTTTTTTTTTTTTTGCTTGTTTTTTAGCACGCTTAGAGGCCGTAGATTGAGTTATGACTATAAATAGACAATCCCAGGAACCAGTTAAGTGCCCCTCAAAAACAAAATCATGTGTTTTTCGTCATTTCCCTTCTTTTTGTGCCTGCGCGTCCCAGCATCAGGCTGCAGCTGTCTCTGGACATGAGGTAATTAAATAAATAAATAAACAAGCGAAGCTGCCGGACACTCACTGGGGCCCGACGCCAGGGACGACGAGCCAGAGAAGGACTGCGACCTCGAGCGCGACCTTGAACGTGACCTTGAGGTGCTCGACCCCAGGCTGCAGGAGCAGCTCTCGTGCTCCGATGACGACGCCTCGCTCCGCGTATCGTAGTCTGGGTTCTTGTGCCGCTTCTCAGGGCCGCCGCCCCCCGGCTTGGCCCCGCCGGAGACAATGGCCGCGATGGACTCCGAAGACAGCGCTGGAACAGCAGCAGACGACGCAACCATTGGCGGAGGCACGGCGGTGTCTTCCGCCACCTGGAGCTCCTCCGCAGTTGGCGTGACATGCAGCCGGTCGGGGTCTTCGTCCGGTGAGTGCTTGGACGGGGGCGGGACGGGAACTGCCGTCTTGGAAGCTACGAGAAAGATGCGGAGCGTCATTGTTTTTCTGCATTGGGCTTTGTACGGCTACGAAAAAGACGCGCGACGTCGCCATAAAACTACAAGAAAGATATGCAATGTCGTAATTTTATTGTGTGGACATCATAAAGCTACGAGAAAGTTAAGCAACCTCTTAGATTTGTTGCATGGGCATCATAAAGCTATAAGGTATGCAACCTTGTACTTTCATTGCATTGGCATCGTAAAACTAAAAGAGATATGCAACGACTTAGTATAGTTGCGTGAGCATCGTAACGCTAAGGGAAATATGCAGTTTTGTTGCGTGGGCACCGTAAAGCTATAGGAAAAATATGCAACCTCATAGTTTTGTGCTAAGAGCCTCATAAGGCTACGAGAAAAAAATGACCTTGTCGTTTCGTGGCAAAGGCATTGTAACACAGAAAAGCATCTTTTATACCTCAATTATGAATAAAATTATTGCTACTGGGACCATTGTACCATATAAATAGGGCATCTCTGGATTCAATATGGAATGAAAACTGAGAAATATTATATGGCCAGTGCAAAATAATTTTTTTTTTATGAGTCGACAGAGAACATGAACATTGACGATTTAAAGGGTCATCCCACATTTATGATTATCAACTTGTGACACCTTTGTAGGCACTCAGAGCACAGATACGAACATAAACACTAATCATGTTAACACTGCCTTTTTTTTTTTAGGTAACAAAAAGAGGCTCGGGCGACAAAAGAAAGATTTTCTACATCCATATCATTGCACTTTTGCTCGTTTCTACATAACACTACCTGCTCGTTTAAATTCCCAATGCAGTTCCGCACACACTCAAATGCAAATCTCTGAACAAGACGTGCCCATGAGCTGCCATCCCCAAAGAGAAAAGAGCCTGTCACCAAGAAAAAGCGCCAACAGTAAGCCAAAACGAAGTGAACTGAAAATGCCACTTACGCAGGACGGCTTTGTCCGACCTTGGCTTTGCAACTGCAGCGGTGTCGGGCGACTTTTTTGAGCCTGGCTTGACTGCAACCAGCTTCTTCACAATCTTGTTTGGAGTCTGGACGGTAGTCAGGATCTTCTTGGCCACTGTCTTCTTGATGACCATGCCTGTTGTGAGCAAAGTGAGCCCCGGATGTAGGAAATCAACCCAACGAAAGAAAACCTACACAACAACAGAGCTGTGGCCCAGACCAATGCAAACGAGACACGGGGACGAAAGACGCAGAATCATGTCAACGTACTACTGCGGACAACATGAGCTGCTACAGTCCCTCATCGGTTGCCTGTCGGTTTCTAGAAAGGCTTTGGTCAAAACTATTGATGGACAGTGATGTAATTTGCTTCGACCATCTTGGAGCATGTTCTAAAGCAGCCAAGAGTCCATTTTGGAGCAGCAAAAAGAACTTTTGAAGCATAAACCACCATAAATATGATGTTAAGGTTCAAGTGCTGAGCTATGGAACTGAGAGAGGATATCTACTTTGCCTTTCCTCTCTGAAACCTTTTGTTAGCATCAACTGCACGGCAGGTTTGGTTCCCAACAACACAGAACAGGCTGTTTAGTTGCACGAAGAAGCATCAGAGACTAAAACAAGACGCTGATTGATGAGGGACAGTAAGAACTCCACTGCATGGTTTTGAGGTACAAAATGAAAGGTAGGAGAAATAGTATATTCCACTGAAGTAATGTTAAAATAGTATAATTTAGAGCACCAAAATTTGTCTCATTTAAAAACTAAAGGTTGTAATAAAACTGCAATTCTTAATTCAAACAAAAAAATTGGCTTTTGTCATTTCATTATGCACATCAATTACATTTTGCATGTAAAACTTCATGGCAACGAAAATTGGCAAGTGAATAATGAATATGCCTTCATAAAAATAATGCACCTAACCACTGTACGAGCCGATTTAGTTTTAATTTACTGCGTTGACCTGTGCCACCGAACAAATGAAACCTATATAAAGGTAATAGTAAAGCGAGGTAGTTGGCAAGAAAAAGTAAACTTATAGAGCAGTTCACAGAAGTATTTTTGCAATACCCAAGAATCCACGCTAAACCTTATATTTTAAGTCTATTATACAGGAACTTCCCCAAAACATGGGCCAAAACATTAGTTTATCCAAATGCACAAATCCTCAGAGGAAAAAGCCTTTTTTTCTTCTGCAAAAAACCTAATTTTGTAACAACTGCTTAGAACTACATGCAAACTATGGGCAAATAATGTTTCTTTTTTTTTTTTGATGTGACGAGAAACGCAGTGATGGCCAAGTTTACCATAATGTTGGGCAACACAAAAGGACCAAAGTTGGGCAACACAAAGAACTGCGAAGTTACCACATTTTCCGAGCTGTAATCCACAGACTGTGTACATAGTATCTACAGGGGCAACTATACAAGGATTTGTTGCTTCAAGAATGTTCATTATCATGAGGTGAGAAGGATTTTGTGAATAACAGAGTATGTTAGTGCTTTATGTATCAATTAAGCAGCCATCCGTCATGGTCGACTGCGTATTAAAACATTTTTTACGTGCAAGCAAGGCTCTGGGTGTGGAGCACACTCCGGATGCGACTAAGGTCCAGGCACGGACTACGCTCCGGGTGCTGAATATGCACCGGGTGCAAACTGTCAAAGTAAGATCTTTTTTTCTTAAACCAAAATATTTTTTTGCAGACTATACATTGGGTGTGGGCCATAGTCTGGAACATAAGGTACAGGCGTGCAAGCGATGGCCCAGCGAGGCTCGGGTAGCCATTCCATGGCAGCCATTCCCAGAGCTTGCAGAAACCCCACCGCCCCGTCTCGGGGACTCGTACCTTTGGCAGGCGCCGCCTCGGAGGCAAGGAGGTCCTCGGGAGACATCTTGGGCTCCCCGGTGGCCGAGACGACGGGTTTCGCCTTCACCGTCATGCCTTTCTCGCCAGGACCAGATGACTTTGTGATCTTGGTCTGCCGAACAACGGGATACGCACATCCTAAAGCCGTAGCCAGACAGCTCGTATGTCGTACAAAAGACAGCGTTCGCAGCAGACACGACGACTGAATTATCCGTGGGCACGCCGCACGGACGTTCGAAGCATGTTTGCTTCGCACATTTGTGTGCTTTGAACATGTTCACAGACGGTCTTATGACAGAACTTTCATAGAAGCTGAACGTGTTTGCAGACAGTCAATGCGACAGGACTGTCACAGAAGAAACGTGCCTCAAACAGCATCTGCACACTGCCTTTTTTTTTTAAGACTTATCAGCAGTGTGACTTTAGCCTTAGAAAGCGAAACAGCGATGACAAAAACAAAAAGCTGGTGGGTAGCACGATCTCGACTGTCCTAACGCCAAGAAACACGCGCCACCCTGCTGTTTGAATAAGCTCGAGCGGCGAACACCGTGCTTGTTCAAGTTTTGAAACAACCGTTTGAAAAAACACACGCCGACAGACATTTGACAAAAGTTTGGCCACTTCCCTCGGGTGTCGCCAACTTGAACAAAACGAGTACCAAGACGAGATTCAAGAAATGTCGCAGAACTCGGACCAATCGGGAGTACCTTCCTGGTTTTTGCATGCTTCCGCCAAAAGTTGCAAGAAATGTTCTGGGCTAAAAGCCAATCGTGCTGCTGAGGGAATCGGTATCTGCAGGGCTATCTCAGTATTGTACACTCCCTGTCTACTACCAACTGTAAATTCGACAAACGGAGCTATTACTCGCTTTAATACTGACTCCCAGTGTCACAAGGACCACAACAATTAGAGTTTGGAGAATACCACTCAACTACCTCATCGGCGATATTGACCAATGGTACGATTCCCACAACGAAAAATGCTGATTATTCCAGCCCCGGAAAACCCATGTCAAGACGAAAATCCAGTAACTTTCTGTAACACCAACTCTGAAGTTTCTTCTCTACTGCCCAAAGCTCAGGCAGATTCAGACTGCACGGCCCATAGCACACCAAAGGACCGAACAGAAAGGCACTCACCGGAATCTTCTGAACGAGCTTGGGCTGCGAGCTCGGCTTGGCTTGTGCGGCAGCGGATGTGCTCAGATCCAGAGCCGTCTGGGCGACCGCCGAGTTCTGAACTGGAGCGGCGACCGACTCAGCAGTCGATCCGGAAACCACCGCCTTCTTTTTAGCAGCGGGCACCGAGCTTTTTGGAGCCGGGGTCTTGGCCGCAGGCGTGGCCTTTTTCGGCGAAACCGTCACTTCGACGGAAGGCGGTTTCTTCGCTTTGGGGGTGCTTTTCTTCTTTGGGATAGCGCTGGTGGCGAGGGTGGCTTTCACCAGTGGCGGAGTCACTGCACTGACGGGCGTCTTTTTTCCTGCGAGGTGAGATGGCCCTCGTGTCAAACTAATAGGCTGTAGCTCTTTACGTGCCCTTTGCCGCGTTATTAGAGGAGACTGTGGACACTGACGAGAGAAAAACAGCAGGGAGACATCTCAGCTAACCTGCCTACAGTGTAAGCTTCCCACCTTCGATAACGCTCTGGCGTCTCGTAAGCTTCAGCACATCGGTGGGCGACGAGCGCAAGGGGGACAAAGCATCTAAAGGAGACGCCTTGCCTTTCTCCTACTGTCAGTGACTATATTGCGATCAAAGACTGATGAACATTCTCTGCTGGATGGATGGATGGATGGACGCTCCGACGACTGTGCCCTTTGAAATGGGCGGTGGCTTGCGCCACCTAGTCTCGTAGCAAGTCAAACCATAGAGCAGAGTCCAAGATTCCGGCCCAAAAAGTAATAGAATAAACACGAAATCCAAGTCGTTCGTCCACCTTGCGGAAGTAAATCCACTTTGCTTCCGCAAAGCTTGATGACAATCGACACAGTTCACTGCTCGAAACAATTCAATGTGCCGAGAAACGGAAGGAGAGGAGACGAGAGTGGATGGGGATGTCAGAACGCCGAGCTCTTACCGGAATTTTAGTGGGTAGCTAGCTGTCTTTGCCTGTGCTTGCCCTTCAAACGCAAGCGCGGGACGCCGGCATTTGTCAATGGAATGGGTTTGAAGTGCGAGTGGAGACAACGGCAGCTAGCATTGTCTACCCACTAATCATTCCAACTAGATCTCGGCGTTCCGACGTCCCCGTGCGCTCTCGTTTCCTCCTCTTTTTCAGTTTTACGTCGCATAAACACAAAAACAGATATGTTTGTGCTAAACTATACTCCATAATCACTTTTAGAACGCCATAAGAGTGGCAAATATATGAATTTGAGTTCACTTATAAACACTTTAGAGAAAAGATGTGCGCCAAAAGGTGCGCAAACAATGTCACGTGATGACACTGTTGTTACTGTGACTCATAAGTTGTAGCCTATTGCTGCAAATTGTCAGGGGCTATTTGAAAAACGGACAGATTACTAACGACATTCGGCTTTGCAAGTTAGCGAAACGCGAGTACAAATCGAGGCCGCTTCGACAAAAACAAATAAAGGAGTCAAACCAAGCCCGATTTTTCGGTTAGAACAGTGATGCGAACAACGCGGCCACAAAAGATCGTGCAAAACTGAAATGCATACGCACCACACTTCTTCTCTTCGTCCTTGAGTTCCGCCGCCAAGTCATCGTCATCGGCGTTCTCCAGGAGTTCGTCCAAAACGTTAACCTCCATATCTTAAAAAAAAAAAAAAAAAAACAGTCGCCCGGTCAACATTGGAGGTACAGATCTCAACGGAAGCCTACCTCAAAAAAGGGTAAATGCAGTTAATAACAAACAAAGGGGCAGCTGCAAGGTTCGACAGAATCCATTACGTCGGATAAACGACACAGCGATCACGTCAAAACACTTCCAACTGAATGTTTCTTTGTCGTTGATGCAGGAAACGCTGATGAGAAAAACATAAAGCCAATAGGTCAAGCGTGAAAAGTGGTCAACAATACCGGCACCTTACAAAGACACAGGACCCAGATTATCGCATGAAATGAGCCATTTTTTATCAAATATTATTATGGATATCCAAATAAAGGTCATGTATTCACTTTACGTCAGTGGATGAAACGTACTTGTGAAGAAACCGAGATTTCGGTACAGTCAGCGAATCATGGACGCGCACCTCCCGCAAGTGTGAACCTTGTATCGTATCTTCCTTCACATTCTGGGCCTTATAGTGTGCCGTATCGCGCTGCTGTATTTGTTCCGTTGCTCACCTTTGTTTTCGGCGTCTTCGGAAGCCATATCTCGGCCTGATATAACACAAAATGTATCAGTAAAGCATAGAGATCGAGCACCTACCACGACTGCCCCCAAACAATCGAAGCGTACTGCGCATGCGCGAGGAACTGAGTTCACATTCGGATTACCTCAGGCTAGACTTGGCTTCGATCATATTCGGTTTCGGTTTCAATTTAGCGCTTTTCTTATTTGCTTTCTTGCTCTTCGTAAAACAAAATAAAAAAAAGTGTTTCTTTCTTGTCCTTACGATGTTGTTGTTTGCATTGTAGTGCGAATGCAGTGGAGGTGCGGAGGTGGCGTCGTGAATGCTGCTGACGGTCGCTGCCAGTGCTAGGTGGTTCATGAAGTGAGTGTAAGCGCGGTGGAAGTTTCTAAAACCATCCAAAATTGAGCATAGCAACTCAAACCTGTCAAAGTGCAATTTCGCTTAACGCCAGTAATGTTTAAAAACAAGTATTTCAAGCTTCAAGCAGACGAGACGGAAGGCTGTCCTTTCGTCATGTCGTTACTGGCGGAGACCGGGGCTCCCGGAGCTGCTTCTTCATTCGAAGAATAACGAGTTCATCAAGCAAGCCAGGCAGCCAGCAGTGTTGCCAGATTGGGCTATATATAGCCAAATTGGGCTACATTTTTTTCTAGTTGGCGTCAAAATTTCGCGTTTGGCTATGTGGCTATTTTTGGGCTATATCTAAGGGTGCGGCGAACTCTTGACGAAACTCAGGTTCGACGTCGAACTTTGAGGTTCGATTAGGTAATTTTCGACCTTCTAGTCAGTTTCGAAAAAAAAATTGTTTCTCTTTTGGCTAGTTGAGAGGAGAGAGAGGAAGGAGGATGGCTTCAAACTTCTACAAACGTCGGGGTTTTCACAATGCGCAGAGAAGCAATGCTAGCAGAGTTCAAGCGGTCTCCCCCCAGCGCAGTGAAGCAAATCAAACAAACAAATTGCACTGTTTTTACAGGTCCAGTAGCGCGTCTTCTACCCGGACGTAGACTGAACTCTCCAAACGCAGCTTTGGTACCCATTGCGAAAATTCTTAGGCATCGCCAACTTTAAGAAATGAAACACAATCAAAATTAGCGTGAACCGGAACGGGGGACGCTCATATTCTACACAAAGAAAAATAGACGCGTGGGTTATTGGTAAGAACCTTAGATATAAGGGGTGTTGGTTTGAAACTCCCAGTTCTGGCACTTCTGCTCCTGCATTCTGTTCTTTTACTGTATGGTTATAACTCCCGGGCCTCAGAATACAGCTGTCCATGTATGTTTTCTATTTCTGAAATCCTACAAAGGATGGGTAATTAATTGTTTCAGAAATTTTCATCCTTCTGAAGCATTTTTTTTTTTTTTTTTATATATCAGGGGACCTAATGCACACAAAAAGTGGCGCATCAGAGGGTTGAAAAAGAGAATTTAACATGTTGTTTTTTGCGCGTATGAAAAATTGTCAATAAAAGGCTTAAAAATCGTTCTTTTTAGTCTTGGCTATTTTGGGCTATATTTATTTTATGGCTTTGGCTATATTTGGGCTATACCTCCCAGCCGTTTGGCGGTTTTTCGGTGGGACCATCTGGCAACACTGGCAACCAGGCGCCTGGGAACCCTTCTTGTGGGATCTTGACCCCAAGACTCAGAAAATTCTAGTCCAGCTGGCCTCGGACGCCGCCGGGAACATCGCGTCTCGTCTGTCGACCGAGGGGATCGCCTCGTCATGAGTCTCTCCCTAAGAGACTCGCTTGACGCGGGGATCTAACAGTCTTGAACCCAATAAAGTCTACCTCACCTCACCTCCCCATCTCCGCGCTGCGCGGCCAACGGGAAAATTCGACCTCCCGGGCCTCGCGCCAAGAGTGGAGAGAAGGGTTTTTCAGTAGCAGCGACCACAACGGACGAGGTCGAAATCACTGCGAAGTGTTTTAAAAACAAATTTGTCGTTAGTTGTTTAGGCAGCAAGAGTATGGTTTGGAGTGCTTGTCTGCCAGAGTATGGTGACAAGACAGTGTTACCCACTGTAGATGAGAAATTTAGCCAGTGCAGTACGACTGCTAGCCCGGGATCTCTGACCTTCATCACAGAGTATATACACGACCACACGCCAATTAAAATGCTTGCGTTTGTCTTCAAATGCGCCAGTTCACGAGGCCCGTGTCTCGGGCGGCCCTTGGAAGCAAATGGCGGCACAGCACTGAAATGAGAGACCCTTGGAAGAGAATTAATGGCGGCGGAAAACCCGCGCATTGCACGTGTCTTACGCGTTTTTCACGACCATGGTTAACGGCATTTGCAAAAAATGTCTTTA